CTCCCGCCGCCGCCTCCTCCTTCGCTTGTTCCGCCTCCAAGTAGGCTGCTAGCTGCTTCAGCGTCTCTTGGAAAGCCCCTATATCCTTACACTCGAAAAAGCCCGTCACCGAACAATGCAGCCTGTAGCAGTGCGTGTCATCTGCGCCAAAGGCGGCAGCCGCTTCGCTTCGCAAACGGGAGAGACGCGTCTGAAGGCGACTTCCGGTCCCTGGCTCCAGATGCAGAATAAAGCGTTGCTGCGGAGGCAGCTGCAATGCGTTGGTGGCTGGGGAGGCGTCGAGGAGACTCCCTCCTATCTGCTCTCCCTGCGCGCAAACGGAGGACTGCCCCCACAAGCTTTCAAGAAAACCCCTCCTCGGGAGGCTTTTTTCTTTTCAATTAGAAGCCTTTCCAATGCCCCTCTTTGCCTCGCCTTTGCTGGCTGCTGCAGCAGCCGAGGGAGAATCAGGAGGGGGAGGGAAGGAGGGGAGGGAAGGAGGGGAGGCCTCATATCCTGCACACACACCTCCTGCAGCGGTTCGAAAGCTGCAGCCGCGGCAGCAGCTAGAGCCTGCCCTTCTCGACAGTCGATCGTCGACGAAGGAGAGAAACACGTCCTCGAGGAGAGCACACGGACCGCCATTCGTATGCCTGCCAACAAGATTCGCGGGTGTGCAGACAAGGAAGGGGAAGAAGATCCATCGAGCATCTCCCTTGCAGCGCACCCCCAATCTTCGCGAGCAGCGTCCTGCGACTCCCGCGAAGGGGGAAAGCGCAGCAGCTGCAGCTGCTGCTGCTGCTGTACCCTCGTGAGATGCATGTGCGATGTCGTGCCGCCAGTGCCAAGAGTGCTGCAGCAGCGGCGGAGGCTGTGGCTGCGAGGATCGCTGCTCGCCGAGGATGGCGCGCAACTGCCAAGGGTCTGTCCGTGCCGATCTAGGAAGCCGTGCGGGTATAAAATCGCCGCGTGTAGGCTGCGCAGCTATTGTCGCTGGCTTTGCATGCGGTGCTGAAGCTGCTGGGAACGCACGCAGAGAAGGGAGCACAGTATGCGCAGTTCGAGGAGGTGCAACGCAGTCCCTTCGGCTACAGAGCTCTGCGGCAAACACAGAGTGCAGGGGGGCGGCCTGTAGTATCCGGCGGGGGGGGGAGTGCCCCTGCGCTGTGATCTCGCTGCTGCATTTTCAGACCAAGAGGAAGCGATGGAGAAGCAGAAGACGCGAGTTTTCTTGTCCGGAAGGCGCTTGCTGGAGGGAAGAAGGGCGCCGTGCGATGTTCGCGCCGCTGAGCTGGAAGCGTGGCAGGCCCTTCGCCTTCCCCGCCAGAAAAAAGCGTTCACGACGGATGTCAATGCGCTGCAAGGCGACGGGGGGTGCTGCAGAAAAGTAACGCTGCAAGCCTGCCGCCAGACATGCCCTCCCTTTCTCCCCCCTCCCCCCCGCAGGCAGCCAGGCTTCCTGCAGAAGAGCGAGCAGCCGTTCGGGAAGAGGCCGCGCGGCTGGCGATGAAGTATATGCAGAAGAAAGCGAGTTTCAAGATTCCGATCAATCGAAAATCGCCTCTACGGGCCGATGCTGCATGTACTAGCAAGGAAGCTCTAGGACGGCACGGCGACACGGCAGCTCAGGGATGAGCGGCACACCACCCGCCCTCCTAGCGCGTCTTCCCTAAGAACTTGCGCCATGGCCGAAAAAATGCCCACTGATTTCAGCATAAATCCGCAATATACACCTGGTGTAGGCTTTTATTTCACGGGACTGCGCAGAAGCCAAGCCAAGCCGCCGAAACTCTCACACATCCTGCTCTGCACACCTGCAGCCGCCTTCAGCCCTGTGGGGGGCGGAGTAGCCCAGCTCCTGGTCAGGGTGGTGTTTATTCGGCGATAAAGCCCAAGCACAGCGCTCGCATTGCACGCAAATTCTAGAAATAGACATGCCTAGAACAGCTATTCATATGCTTGAACACACGTGTGCGCGGGTAGTGTGCTGGGGCGGGGCGGAGGGTGCCGCTTGCCGCCCCCCTCCTCCCCTTCTCTCAGACTTGCAAAGCGCCTTCCTGTAAATTGCTCGCGAATCTCGCCTCATAGCAGCCTCCACTAATGAAACCTTAAAGTACACTCGCTGCTGGTGAGACTGCATCTTTGGCTCTGGCTTTGCCTGCAGCTACAGTCAACACGATAATCACACGCCTTACGGGCGTCAATGGACGCGGCATCATTACACCAGTTAGCGCATACGCCTCGCCATGATCGAAATACGCTGTATCAGCGCCTGCTGCCAGGCAGCTTAGTCGTTTGCCAGTGTGTCGTTGTGCTGACACGGCGGTGCACTTTTTCCTGCCGAACAAGGGCGGTGACAGTCCGCAGGAAAGCGCAGCCGCAAGCCAAACACGTGTTTTGTTGAATGCGCTTCGCCGCACCCAGGACGGTAGAAAGGGCCTTTGTAGAGCACGCAGTGCTGGATTCAGCCGCTTTAGCATGGGCACGATGCACAGGATTCTACGTACAGCCGCATCCATATCCACTTTTTCTTACGTGATAGTTAAGATTCCTTAGGAATGCGCAGAATAGGGATTTCTCCGTTTCGCTGTTCGTATGGGCTGCTTGTTGCCGCAAAATATTTCGCTCACGGACAGAAAGTATTTCAGGGGTGTTTGTGTGCCCGTAAGCTGGCGCTTGCTAGGGGCAACTAGCTGCGAGAGCTCAAAGCAAGCTGGAGTGCAGCCATGCCTCTGCACTCCAGCTCGCTCTCCCTCTCTCTTGATACCCGAAAGCCGAAGAGTAGGTGATAAATGCAGGAGGAGGGTGGGGTTGCTGCTGCTGTCGTCCTGGAGAGACCCTTCAAAGTGTCTGTAAGTCTTGCATGTGTATTTTTAGAGGCGAACTTACATTGAACTCGCACATCAGCACATCAAGCTGAGAATTAGTAGGTAATAAGTGCAGGAGGAGGGTGGGGTTGCTGCTGCTGTCGTCCTGGAGAGACCCTTCAAAGTGTCTGTAAGTCTTGCATGTGTATTTTTAGAGGCGAACTTACATTGAACTCGCACACCAGCACATCAAGCTGAGAATAAGGAAAGTGTTGACCGCCCCCTTTTTCTCTGTGCGTGTGTTAGCCTATTTTGGCAGCGTAGCTGTTGAGTTCGATGCAGAAGCAGGCACAAGGTTAGATTCCAGTGCGCTAGACGCTATGTACCGCTAGCTATGAACGCCCGGAGGACTATGTCTAATGACGGTGCAGCTGCGCACACCCAAGCAAATCTTCTCCCCTCCCGTCTGAGCGCGTAAAGGGCCGGCCCTTTAGCAGGAGGAAGAGGGGGAAGCTTTTTTGTTGAGACGTCCTCGATGCCTTTGGGGTTTGGAGCTTGTTTGTATGGCATCTGGAGTGTCTGCACGCAATGTCTCCCCACAAAGGCCTCAAAGGAAGCGTCTGGTGGTACGGGGTTGGCGTAGGTACCGAAGGGCCTGTTAAAGGGGGCGATAGCTGGACTCACGAGCTTCCTAAAATTGTATGCCCATAGCCAGAAGGCGCCTCGACAGAGGCTGCTGATGTCTGCGACGGCTCCTGGCGATGTAACGCGAGAAGGCTACATCTCGATATTCTTGCTGCTGGAAGCTTTGCTGCAGCCTTTTCACGGCGTACATGAGCCGCAGGAAGACCCCACAGGGTGGGGGAGAGTACACAGGCTTCCCACTAAAAGTCAGGTAGTGGTATTTCCTTAGAATCATGGCGCAAAAAGACGGCGTCTAATGCGCTATCCGATTGCGTATTCCAGAAAACTTAGTTCGCCGTCTGCATATCCAGTATGAATTGGAACAGGCAAACTGCATAGGTGCCTTTTTTGCGCTGAATGAAGGGTTGGACGAAAGAGATGCGTGAATCAAGAGATAGGGAGGTGGTACTGCGTGTGTGTGTATCATGGATGTACGCCTGTCTATTTGTCTATTTGTTTGTATGCATCTGAGTGTGTGTAGTTAAAACTCTGGAGTTACAGGATGTTTTGGCGAAGCTCAGTTTAAAGTCTTTGAGGACAGCACCCACCTACGCAGCAAGCCTTAGAGGCTGCTGCTTCTGCTGCAGCAGGAAGGAGTTTTTACATACTTGCTGCCCCTACGGCAGACAGCAAAGTGCTGCAGCAGAGGTTCTCAGAGCGCGAGAGGCCACGCCAGAGACACGCGAGACTGTAGGAATACGAAGCCCATCCATCATCAAGCACCTTCACTGCTGCTGCTCGCGGGGGGTTGCTGCAGTGCAGCAGAGAACGTGTTTTCCTTGGCAAGAGCTGCAGAGGGCGGAGAATTCCCACCTGCGACAGCTGGTGCCACTACGTCAACAATGCCTCCCGTCACTGACGCGGCATCGGATGCCCCCGTCTGCTGCTGATCCTGCCACGGCTTGGCAACTGCTCCTTCTGCTCCTGCTGCTGCTTCTGCCCCTCCTGCAGCGGGAGATGAAGGGAGGAGAGCACCTCCCGAGGCAGTTGCCGCGACAGGAGACGTGGCAGCTGCTCCCGTCGGAGACGGAACGGCAGTGTCTGAGTCTCTGCCCTCACTGCGCCAGTCAAACGCAATACAGCCGTCTACAAAAGGGAGGGGTATTTCCACGGCATCTGCTGATGCTGCCAACACCCCTGCCGACGGCTGCCCTCCAGACAAAGGATTTCCAGCCGCTGCTGCTGCTGAACGCGCGCAGCGCTCGCGTCTGCTGCTGCGTTCCACTGGCAAGGCAGCTGCCCCACTGCTGCCGCTGCTTCTGCTGCGCGGAGACACAGGCCGTGTTGCTGAGGAACCTACTGCTACTGGCGCCGCTGCAGCGACGGTGGTTGAAGCAGCAGTAGGAGCTTTCGCTCCTCCCGCTGCCGCTGCTTGCTGGTGTCTGGATGTTCTAAAGCGCTTCACAGGGGCAGAAACGCTGCTATCCTGCTGGTGCGTCATCGGAGCACTTCCTGGAGCGACGGCAATCGGCGTGTGTTGCTGTGGCTGTTGTTGCTGCTGGTGCAGCTGTTGTTGCTGGTGCAGCTGTTGGTGCTGCTGCTGGTGCTGCTGCTGCTGTTGCTGCTGGTGCTGCTGGCTGTGCTGCTGCTGCGGCGAAGCGGAAGTCTGTGCATCCTTGAGCTTCCTGTAAACTCCCAAGTGCCTCTGCCGCAAGTGCCGCCTTACAGCAAACGCCCACTCAAGAGGCCGTACACTCCAGCGCCCTTGCATGAGCGCTTGCATGTCTAGATCTGGCTGCAACAGTTCCACAACGCCTGGCGCGAACATGGGAGCCTGCTGCTGCTTCTGCTCTGCTGCTGCTGCAGCGGCTGTTGCTGCCGACGCCCCGGATCCGTCTCCTCCCGCAGCCGCTTGCTGCGCAGCAGCAGCAGCAGCAGCAGCTGCTGCTGCTGCTGCTCCGGCAGCAGCGGCGGCTCGGGGAGGCCTCCCACGTCGCCGCTTGCAGTAACTCGCTACGGAAAAGACGGTTGGAAGCAGCTGCAGGTCCATGGGAATATAGAAAACGGCGTTGCGAGCGAAGGCAGCACTCGTTGGGGAGAGTCGCAGTCGCGTCGCCATGTCGAAAATCCACCCGATGTCTGCTGCTGCTGCTGCAGCTGCAGCTGCAGCCTTTTTCGTGAGGACGGAGGGCGAAGCCTCCACTGCAGCAGCAGACGCACCAGCGCCTGTTGCCGTCCGACAGCGAGCTGATCGCTTCATCGGCTGCACGAGTTGGTGTTGTTGCTGCTGCTGCTGCACGAGTTGGTGTTCTTGTTGCTGTTGCTGCTGCTGCTGCGCGAGTTGGTGGGGTTGCTGCGGAGCTCCTCCTACAGGCCCATGGTGCTCTGGAGACGCCTGCGCGTCTTGCTGCGGCTGCGGCTGCTGCTGCTGCTGCGGCTGCCGCTGCTGCTGCTGCTGCCGCTGTTGGTACTCCTCGAAAGCAGCAGCAAACTTCTCCGGGAGCGGCAGCACCCGAGGCACCACCCATACCCATAGCTGCTGCAGCAGCACGTGCAACGCGTCTTGAGGATGCACATCGTAGTTGAGTCGATATCGACAGCACCAGGCACTTGTCGTTTCCACGAATCCATCCGTAAAGTAAAAGAGTCGCACGCCAACAACAGCAACCCCCTGCGCCTGACGGCGCCCTTGCATTGGACGCAAGGCGAGCTGCTGCTGCTGCTGCCTGCTGCTGCTGCTGCTGCTGCCACTGCCACTGAGGCTGCTGCAACCGCCACTTGCCCCCTGGTGTGGCGAGACTTTGTACCGCGAAGCATCCTTGCGCGCATAGCAACTGCAAGAAGGAGCCGTCAAAACGTCCAAAACCAACGCATCATGCAGCTCCCAGCTGCCCCCCTCCACAGCCACACATACAACTGCGCCTGGCCACACATCGGTGTGACGCGCCAGCCCCAATTGCTGCTGCTGCTGCTGCTGCTGCTGCTGCATGCATGCATGCCCCCCAGTGGTCCCCCCCCCCAGTCCGTCTGCCTCGCCACGAGGTCGTCGTGGCATCACCGGAGTCGGGCGAAGACGCCAGCAGCCGTTGCGAGGCTCTGTCACTGGCACGTTGGGAGGCACAAAATTTCGAACTTCCACCTCGGCTCGCTGCAGCACCAACACGCGACAGTACACCACACCACAGACGCGGCGTCACGGAGGCACCACGCTCAGAAGCGCAGGCGCAGCTGCCCATTCATGCGTAGCAGCAACCGCATTCATGCGTAGCAGCAACAGCATTCATGCGTAGCAGCAACAGCATTCATGCGTAGCAGCAACAGCATTCATGCGTAGCAGCTACAGCATTCATGCGTAGCAGCTACAGCATTCATGCGTAGCAGCAACAGCATTCATGCGTAGCAGCAACAGCATTCATGCGTAGCAGCAACAGCATTCATGTGTAGCAGCAACAGCAATCATGCGTAGCAGCAACAGCATTCATGCGTAGCAGCAACAGCAATCATGTGTAGCAGCAACAGCAATCATGCGTAGCAGCAACAGCAATCATGCGTAGCAGCAACAGCAATCATGCGTAGCAGCACAAGCAGCAGCAGAAACACCAACAGCGGTGCAAGACATACGTGTTGTGTCGCATCATCTATCCAGTAAGACACGTGAAGGCGCTGGTGCTGCTGCTGCGGCTGCATGTGCTCCGGTGGAGCAGCAACAACCTCAGCATCCCACCATGCAATACACCCCCCGTCCTCCAAAGAAAACGCCACTTGAAGCTTCATGCCTGCACGCCAAACATCACGATACCGACCATAACCACCCTGGTCACCACCACCCTGGTCACCACCACCCAGATCACCACCATTATCACTATAAGTATAGCACCATTATCACTCTACTTCCATCATCATTATCACTAGAAGTATAGCACCATTGTCACTGTACTTCCACAATCACTATACTTCCGCCATCATTCCCACAATACATCCACCATCACGATCACAATAATTGCAGCACCATTATCACTATAATTATAGCACCATTATCACTCAACTTCCATCATCATTATCAAAATAATTACAGCACCATTATCAATGTACTTCCACCATCATTCTCACAATACTTCCACCATCATTATCAAAATAATTACAGCACCATGATCAATGTACTTCCACCATCATTATCAAAATAATTACAGCACCATTATCACTATACCTCCACCATCATTATCACTATACCTCCACCATCATTATCAAAATAATTACAGCACCATTATGCCTCCACCATCATTATCAAAATAATTACAGCACCATTATCACAACCACCAGGATCACCACCATAACCACAACCCCACCATCACCACCCAATCAGCGGCCACCCCTTCTTTCTCTGACGTCGGTGCATCTAAGCCCTCTCTGCATGCAAAATGTGACTTCCAAGCAAGCAGCAACGCCCTCCATGCACCCATCCACACGCCCTCCGCTGCTTGCCTGCCTGTCTGTCTGCATGCCCGCCTTTTAGCAGCAAAGAAGGTGGGCAGCGTCCAGAGCAAAAGCAACAGCAGCGCGCTCTCCGCGACACCTTACCTGCTTGCAGACTCTGCGGAAGAGCCTGAGTTCTATGCACAGCTTCCACGAGAGGCCTCAGTCTAAATTTGGAGACATCCTGATCGATGCGCTGCTGACTGTTTGCAGACAGCAGCATCTCTGCTTCCGCAAACTCTTCGACTTCCACCTGGCGCGCCATCCGGCTGCTGCCCCCTCTGCTGCTGGCGCCACCACACAAGCTGCTGCTGCTGCTGCTGCTGTTGTTGCCCTGCTGCTGCTGCTGCTGCTGCGATCCCCACTCGCCGCCAGGCAGTGCTGTGCCGCCTTCGAGCGCCGTCTTCGCAAAGACTGCACCGCCAAGGGCAGACGCTGGTGAGGCAGAAGCAAGAGAGCTCGCCACTGAGCCTGCTGCAGGGGCGACTGACGTGCTGTTGCGGCGACTGACTGCGTAGTAAGCAGCAGCAGCAGCAGGCCCTCTACATACATGGACGCGAAAACGCTTCTTCCTCAGTTGGGCGTTCCTGTCAATGCCTCCACAAACATACCGTGGAAAGGCTGCTGCAGCACAGCTTCCCAGGTGGAAGAACGCCTCCCTAGGGAGGGGAGAAGCGGCCACCCCGCCGCTTTTCGTAGCTGTTGCTGCAGCTGCATCTGCAGCAAAAGCTGCCGCGAAGGCAGCGTCTTCAGAGAAGTCTACAAGTCGCCGTCGCATAACGCGCCTTCGCTTCTGCTGCGGCTGTTGCTGCAGCAGCAGCAGCTGCTGCTGCTGCAGCAGGAGCTGCTGCTGCTGCTCCCCATCGCTCCCCAAGGCCGTTTCCTGCTTTACGCCCAAAGACGCCTGCTGCTGCTGCTGCAGCTGGTGCTGCTGCTGCAGCTGCAGCTGGTGCTGCTCTGTCATGGAAGAGAGCACCGAGGCGACATTTCCTGACGCTGCACCGAAGCATTTGAGCCGCAAGCGAGTTGGCTCGCCTCCTAAAAAGGCCCCACTATTGTTGGTGTTGTTGTTGCTGTTGGCGAAGGCGGAGACAGTGGCAGCCTCGCCGCTTCTTGCACAGCTCGCCAACTGCTGGTGTGGCTCGTGCTGCTTTTGCTGCTGCTGCTGCTTTGGCAACGCCGCAGTGTCTGTCGGGAAGTGCGCTGCGAAGGAGGAAGATAGCTCTGGGCCTGGCTCTGAGGCACCACCGGCAGCAGCAGGTGCAGCAGCACCAGCAGCAGATGCTGCAGCAAGCGATCCCTCGGCGGAGGCGCAAAGTCTGACCCCCCCGCCTCCCCCAGCTGTCGTTGCTGCTGCTGCTCCCCCTCCTCCTCCTCCAGCCGCGGAAGCAGCAGCAGCCGCTGCTGCAGCAGCAGTAGAGAGGCTTCCACATTCTGTCTCGCTGTCGAGAAGCACGCGATCGGCAAGGCCTAAACTTCTCGGAACGCGCGCAGCAGCGGCTGCCCTCGCAAGAAGCTTCGCGTGAAAAACAAACGGCGAATGCAAAAAGAAGAGAGGCGTGCGAACAAACGCCATTGCGCCTGCAACACACATGCAGAGCACCCTCTCCACACAGAAAGCTGCGGTGTCAAGCGTCTCTTATTAATCAGCGACGTGCAAAAATTCTTGTAGGAGACACACGCACATGCGCATGCAACAGCCGCGCACGGCACGGGTGACAAAAGCTCGAGGAAAAGGAGGCGAGAAGGAAGAATCAAATGAGGCAAAAGGCACAGATAATATAGAGCACTATATGTAGACAGAGGGAGATATACATATATATGTATATATAGACACACACACACACACACATATATATATATAGACAGATATACATATGCATATATATAGACAGATATATATAGATATGGATATAGACAGAGAGACGGGAAGAACGATGGACGTAGAGAAAGAAAGAGAGGCAGACAGACAGACAGACACACAGACAGAGACAGGCGTATACAGGTGCATCAAGAAGATGAGCAGACACAAAAAGTGAGCACTAGAAACCTCGCGAGTAGATGCGGCAGAGAGGAAGAACGGCATTCATGCCCCTGCTTGGCTCGGCGTGTGGGAGGCTGCGAGACAGCAGCGAGACTGTCTCTGCGCCTGCTCTTGGCCTTACTTCGCTTGTAGTTGATTTCCTGTTGCTGCGTCTTGACAACGGGAGGGTTCTGAGCCTTGTACAGACGCACAGTGCGTTTGAATGCGGCGAGATAGTCGAATTCCGTGCCTGGTGTTTGCGGTCGCTGCCCTTCTGGAAGCCTTGCTGCTGCAGCGGCTGCCTCTGCTGCGGCTAGACCCAGTTGCACGGCTGCTCCTCCGCTGCTGCTTCCTCCGCCGCTGCTGCTGCTGCTTTGCGGACTGCATCCCCACCGCAGCAGGAAGCGGAATTCTGCATTGGCGATGCGCAGCATGAGAGGCGCTGGAAAGGCCAGTGCCTCGCTGCAGAAGAACGAATCCAGCTCTGCCCTCCGACACAGGGAGAACCACGCCTGAAGACGCAGCGACAGCGAGATGCACGCACGCAGAAGCAGGCAGTCAGGCGTGCATGCAGAGGCAGGCAGCACATCCATCCGCTGCATGAAAAGGGCTTTGAAGGCATGCAAGCATGCATGCATGCTTGCATGCCTACAAGGCCGGGTGTGTTGCGCGTTCCTTCCCTCTCCGCAAAAAGGCGCAATTGGTGGGGGGTGGATGTGCAGAGGGACGGCAAAAAGCACGAAGAGGACGCAGAATTCGCACAAAAAGCGCAGAAAAAGCGGCAGTAGCGCCAGCATGCATGCATGCGTGCATGCTGGCAGACACAGACTTTAGACGCGAAAGAGGTAGCTCGCGACGTTGGCGACTGCAGACACGACGACAGCCGACTACTGCAGCCTGCCTCGCAGCAGTAGGCGACAGCGCCTTCCCGAGGCGCCTTTTCTGCGGGAGGCAGCAGGCAGACGTGGCAGAAAAGCCTTGCCAAAGTGTCTCTCTCTACAAGAAAACACACACACCTGTACACCCCAAGCCGCTGGACCGCTGCGCGGTTCTTTGAGCTTCCGATTCGCTTTCGAGGGAGGCAGACGCTGGAGACCAAAGGCATCGAGGAGCTGCGTAGACACTGCAAGAGCTGCACTCTGGTGACAGCAGGGTGTGTAGTGCTCTGCCTGCAGGTGATGCAGAGGGCGCAGCCATCCGCCCTCGCTGTACTGCTGAATCTGCTGCAGCTGTAGCTGGAAGGCTGTTTCTTGCTGCTGCTGCACGGGCAGCAGCAAGACGTCGGTAGAAGCAGCCACACGGCTGCACAGCTCTCTGTTGTACACACTCAGAAAGCGACAGCCTACAGCGCTGCTCTCCGCATCGTAGGTGCCCCCCTCAACTCCCGCGAGGCTGCTGTCGATCTGCCGAAAGACACGACTGCAGCAGCTCGAGCTGCTGCCGCCAAGAGAATGACTCCCAACTCCCCCCGTCGCGCCCCCCCCTACGCGGCTGCTGCTGCTCGCTCCCTGAGGAGTCGCTCCCTCTCCTGCTGCAGCTGGTCGATGCCACCGCATCTGCGAAGTACACTCCTCGTGCGCAGCAGCCGCTCTGAAGCGCGTTCTGCCTCCTCCTGCACCCACACCTCCAGCAGCACCCCCCCCCGCACCACTTGTGCACCCTGCTGGAGCTGCCTGACCATCAGCCCCCCAATCCGCAAGCTGCTGCTGCTGCTGCTGCAGTATGTGCAAATGCTGCAGATGCGCATGCGGCTGCTGATGCAAAGAACCCCCTCCCGAAAGAGAGGCACACAAGTCGGCGCAGGGAGGGGGCAACCCTGCAGCGAGGATCCTGCGCTTCTTCCGCTGCTGCTGCTGCTGCTGGCAATACAGCACGTTGCTGCCAACGCAATCCCCTCCAGCTCCCAAAATGTGCTGCCACATCTCCGCCGCCGCTGCATGCGCCTCGCGACTTGGTCTTGACAGCAGAAAAGAGGGAAGCGGCACGTCAAGATCGCACAAACGACCCCCCACACCCCTCAGCATCTCGTGCAGCAGTCGCTTCTCCCCCTTCTGCTTCTTCCGCTGCTGCTGCTGCTGCTGCTGCGCCTCCGCCTCTAATTCTGCTGCTCCCGCAGCAGCAGCCGCGTAGCTCCCCCCCATCAACAGCCGCTCCAACAGCGCAGGCTGCCAAGGCTTCGCCAAATAACAAAAGCCGTGCTGGTCACTGCTGTTGCTGTTGCTGCTGTTGTTGCTGCTGCTGTTGCTGTTGCTGTTGTTATTGCTGCTGCTGTTGCTGTTGTTATTGCTGCTGCTGTTGCTGCTGTTGCTGCTGCTGCTACCCTGCAGTGCAGCTGACGCCTTGCTGGAGCTGCCTTCAGCCTCCACCATCGAGCAGGAAAGCACAGACGACACCTTGTGAGTGCTGCTATCCGTCCTTTTGTTGCTGCCGCTGCCAGCCTCCAGCTCCAACATCCACGTGAGATCATCTAGCTCCCAGTGAGGCAGTTGCTGCAGCTGCTCCGCAACCTTCAGCAGCAGCTGCATGCGCGCAGGACTAAGCCGCTGGGCAGCCTGCAGCAGCACGGCAGCCTCACTTGGCAATCGAGAACTGCCTGTCTGTGCTGCTGCTGACTCGTCTGCGTGCACATGCGGCAGCGCAGCCGCTGTCGTCTGCTTAGACAAAGCGTCTGCTGCAGAGGCTGCGCCTCTTTCGGAAACTCCCACCCTCAAACTTCCCCCCGTAAAAACGCTTGACGCCTCTCTTGAAGAGCAGTCTTGACAAAACCCAATAGAAACAGCTGCTTCCCCTGCGGTAGATATGCGCCTGCAACGGCTAGCTGCTGCTGCTGCTGCTGCCTCCACCGCAGCTTCTGCTCCTCCTGCTTCTACAGTCGCTCCCTCCTCTGCTGCTGCCAGCTTTTGCTGCTGCTGCTGCTGTTGCTGCTGCTGTTGCTTCGCATATCGACAGTGCACGGCTTTTCGGGGAGGCTGCTGGTGTTGCTGCTCATCTGGATCTTCTACCTCCTGAAGCGTCAGCCGCATCAAGCGTGTCTCCTCAGGCAGCAGCGGCTCCTCCGCAGCAGCTGCTGCAGCAGCCACAGCCTCTGGATCAATCAGCAAAGCCACGACTGCAGCACCGCAAGGATCCGCCCTTTCGCTGAGCAGCAGCACCTGCTGCTGCATTTGCTGCAGCGATAACAGCACATGATCAGCTGTCTCTGCCTCCAAATGAGCAGCCACCACACATGTGGGAGAAGTGCCAAGAAGAGCATCCCACCCTTCAGCTGTTTGCGGCAATGTGCTGTCTTGCTGCTGCTGCTGCTGCTGCTGATGTCGAGACCAGTCGATCAAACATCGCGGACTAAAAGGGCTTTCGCCTGCCGCTGCTGCACAGCTGCTATTATTATTATTATTATTATTATTATTATTATTATTATTCGTATTGCAGTTGCTGCTGGTGGCACTATGACTGCAGGCGTTGCTGCTGCTGCTGTTGCTGCTGCTGCTGTTGCTGCTGCTGCTGTTGCTGCTGCTGCTGTTGCTGCTATTATTGCAATTGGTGGTGTTGTTGTTATTATTATTATTACTACGAGATGCAGCAGCAGCCCTAGTAACACGAGGAGGGACAGGTGGCATTACTCTTCCCCGCAAGCGCACACGATGCATCTCTTGCTGCTGTTGCTGCTGCACATCTTGTTGTTGCTGTTGTTGCTGCTGCTGCTGCGACTGCGACTGAACGAGGGCACCTGCCTTGTGCTCATACGGAGAAACAGGCTGCTGCTGCTGCTGCTGCTGCTGCTGCTGCTGCACGTCATCTTCCTGTGTCTCGTGATGCTCATCTGCTGCAGCATCATACCACTCTTGCTGGCGTTCATCTTCCTCAGCTGCCACATGGGTAGCCTTTCTTCGCCTGCGGAGAGTCAATCGCGTTGTACGTCTGCGCTGCCTATTACCAGATGCTGCTGATGCTGATGCTGCAGATGCTGATGCTGCAGATGCTGATGCTGCAGATGCTGATGCTGCAGATGATGATGCTGCAGATGATGCAGATGCTACTTCTACTCCTGCAGATGCTGCTCCTGCTCCTGCAGATGCTGCTTCTGCTCCTGCAGGTGCTCCTTCTGCTCCTGCGGATGCTGCTTCTGCTCCTGCAGATGCTGCTTCTGCTCCTGCAGATGCTCCTTCTGCTCCTGCAGGTGCTCCTTCTGCTCCTGCAGATGCTGCTTCTGCTCCTGCAGATGCTCCTTCTGCTCCTGCAGATGCTCCTTCTGCAGGTCCAGTAGAAAAAGCAGCAGCAAGCGAACTATCAGAAGCGATGGCAGGGGCGGTATCCGCATCGGGGAGAAGTGTTGCTGTGTTAGACGCAGCCGTTGCTGCACCTTTAGGGGATTGTGTTGTTGCTGCTGCTGCTGCCTGCCACGCAGACGCAAGCCTAATAGACAGAAGACGAGCCGATTGCTGCTCGCATGTGCTGCCAGGTGCAGGTGTATGGACAGCAGAGCTGGCAGCAGCAGCAGCAGCAGGGGGAGGAGCAGCAGCAGCAGGAGGAGGAGCAACACCTTGTGCAGCTGGTGAGGATACTGCCGTGGGCTGTAATTTTGCCGATGATGTTGCTCCTCCTCCTGCTGCTGCTGCTGCTGCTGCTGCTGCTGCTGCTGGGTGTGATGATGGTGCTAGCGACGATGTTGCTGCTCCTGCTGCTGCTGCTGAGTGTGATGATGGTGCTAGCGATGATGCTGTTGCTCCTGCTGCTGCTGCTGCTGGTGGGGGGGGTATTGCTGCTGCTGCTGCTTTTGCTGCTGCGTTCGCTGCTGGCAATTGTGCAGCTACGGCTTCAACTGAGGGAGGAGGTGCTCGCATCGCTGCTGGCTGTAGCTTCCCAGATTGAGCAGCAGCAGCAGCAGCTGCTGCTGCTGCTGCTGCTCTTGCTGCTGCCTCTACTACCACCCCGTTAGCAGCTGCTGCTGCTGCTGCGTGCTGCACAACCGTAGGTCCCTTAACAGCAGCAGCAGCAGCTGCTGCTGCTGCTGCCTTCCTCATCGCGGCAGCAGCTGCTGCAGCGTTGGCAGCAACAGCAGTCGATGAAGACAGACTTCGATGCGCATCTGGCAAAGTGCTTGATGCATGCGCAGGAGGAAATCCTAGCGGCTGCATATGTTGCAAAGCTCTGTGCTGGTGCCTTTGTTGCTGCAGCTGCTGTAGCTGCTGTCGCTGCTGTCGCTGCTGTTGCTGCTGCAGCCTTTGTTGCTGCAGCCTTTGTTGCTGTAGCTGTTGTTGCTGCAGCTGTTGTTGCTGCAGCTGCTGCTGCTGCAGCTGCTGCAGCTGCTGTTGCTGCAGCTGCTGTTGCTGCAGCTGTTGTTGCTGCAGCTGCTGTTGCTGCTGCTGCAGCTGCTGTTGCTGCTGCTGCAGCTGCTGCTGCTGCTGCCTGTAGGGATTGTGTTGCAGCCACGTCGTTTGCGGCTGCGACTGGTGCTGAAGACGTTGGGAAGTCACCAATGAGGCTGAGGGATGATGAGTTTGATGCTGCAGTGCATGCGGCGAAGAGGTGCAGGCTTGTTGCTGCAGCTGATGATACTGGATGTTTTGCTGATGCATTTGCTGTTGGTTACTACCCACAAAAAGAGAAGATCCTCGATGTTGAGTGTTGAGTTGCTGTTGTTGTTGATGCTGTGACTGCCGCTGCGGCTGTTGCTGCTGCATTGTGTGACAGTGCATCATCTGCTGTTGTAGCACCTTCTCCTGCAAGAACTGCTGTTGTTGCACAGGAGGCTGCTGCTGATTCTGATGCTGCGCAAACTGCTGCAACAGCCTCTGATTGTGGTTGTGATGCTGTTGTTGCTGTTGCTGTTGATGCTGTTGCTGCTGCTGGTGTGGCTGCTGCATATTCATTGTGAGGCGAGGCGATGCGTGTCTTCTACCGTTCCTGCATATATATGGTGTCTGTATACGTCTCAGCTGCCGGTGTTGCTGATTGGGCAGCAGGCGCTGCTGCTGAAGCTGCTGCTGCTGCTGCAACGCGCAGCGGAGCAGCTTTTCTGCTCAAGGGTTGCAATTGTAGCAGCCAGCGGCAAGAGCAAACGGGTGTGGGGTCATGTGCGCGGGCAAAGAGCATCACCAGATGAGAATTGTCATGGTGAGCTGCCGCTGTTTGTGCTGTAGCAGCCGCCGCTGCAGCGCAAGAAAGGAGCAGCGGCAGCAAAACAGTGCAACCTACCCGTTGCTGCTGCTGCCGCTGCTGCTGCCCTCCTAAGCATTTCACGGTGTCAAATACAGAAGCTTCTAAATGCCACGGTGCGCCTGGGGGCCTTTCAGAAAGAATCAGGCGTGCGAATGATGCAGCCGTTCTTGCTGCAGCTGCAGCAGCTGCTGCTGCTAAACTGCTGCTGCTGCTGTGCGTCGATGCAGCAGCAGCAGCAGTCTAGCAGCAGTCTAGCAGCAGCAGCAGCCAACGACGCTTTCTCTTGCTGCACAAATATCCGTTTGAACGCTGCAGCAGCAAAATAACATTGCGGAACCTCTCCGTGTTCGGAAGCGGAGAGATGCTCGGCGTGTATAACAAGTGTACCTCACTTTATGTGTTGCTTCTGCCTCTGCTGCCTACGCGCTGGGCAGCTACAGTGCGTTGTTGCAGTTAAAATGCTCTATCCCTCCTTAAAAGCATCACCGCAGCGTCTACATGGATTTCTATCCTCTGCACAGCTCGTCACGTTCGCCTTAGAGGCAGGCCGACCTCTTCGCTCTCCAGCGTGTCACTCGAAAACTGGTGTTTTCAGGGTTGGTTGCTGGAAGGTTTTAGGTGTTATTCGTTCGCATTTGCAAAGCGTCTTTAGGAGACAATAGTCAAAATCTGTGTGCGCGAATGCGCAAGAAGGTGTCTTGCAAATTCGTAGACCGTAATTAACGCCACACACTGTCTGCACATCTCTCACCGTAGGAGGAGAGGCACCGACCATGTGACGGACTGTGGCGCCCTTAACGCAAAAATACGCCTCCAACACCCATGTCTATTCGTGTCTTCTAGGGATTTTAGTGGAATACTCAAGCAATAGCACCAGGCACTCTCCCCAGCAGCAATACCACACAACACGACTTCGCCCACCCCTCTCAGCGGCAGCCACAGGCCACACCTGTTCCTTGCAACACGCACAAGCGCAGACGCGCCCCCTCTTACGCCTCTAAGTGCCGCCTCCTTGAAGCGATGCAGGGAAGCCAACGTATGGCAGACCAGCCTAGAGTAGCTTTGAGAGACCTATCTGTATGTGCATGAGTATCTGTGCATGTGTGTGTGTGTGTGTGTATCTATGGGCACCTATGTGAGCACGCGTATCCGTCTTTATGTACATCTGTGTATGTGTATGCGTGTACCGTATGTATGTGTGTATCTGTGCATGGGCATCTACGTGTGTGAGGCACCTCGCATTGTGGTCTAGCTGCTGGCTGCCGATTCGAGAGTGTCTTATATTGAGCAGACACTTCGTTCGCACGGGCGCCTTTATGGCCCTGCGACTTTTTATGCGGCTGTGCTCTTTCGAGGCACCTCCTCTCATCAGTTCCTGCAACGGGTAGATTGCCAAGCCCTTGATACCGACCCTAAGGGAAGCGTGGCTCTCAGCTTCCTATTGCATCCCTTTGGTGTCTGCTGCTTTTGAAGGCAGTGACCTCTCGAGGCGCTAAGCACTGGCTGTCTAGATGCCCAGACCCTTTAGACACTAGAAAATCTGGAGGGCCTTGTAGGCTGGCTGGCTCGAGCGTTGCCTCCTTCAACACCTCTAGGCCTTACTGTATGAGTATGCTTCATCTAGGGTCTGTGTAGGGTGACGCTATGCGTCGGAATCAATGCAAACTTATTCGAAAATTCTCAGGTACTTCTCAAAGAATTCCCTTCTACTCCTGCTGGAGCCTCGCAAAGTCATGAATATCAGGAGCGAGGGCCAGCCACGGTGCGTGTAGCTGCATCCTCTAGGTACCCCAAGCATGCACAGCTACTGGATACGCATAGCATCTAGCGCACATGCATGCAGACGCCATTATTGCGTCTTGGTGAATCGAGCTAGGTAGCAGGATTTCGTGGTTGAAAGGTTATACGAGCAGTCAGACAAAGCTTCTATTTCTATGTGCTCCTGATAGGCTGAGAGTTGACTCTTTGATCTGGCCGTTCGCTTGAGCGAAGCATTAGAGAGAAGGGGGAGCTAGTTAAACGCTACAACGGTAGACGCTGTGCGGTTAAGCGCTTCAGGCTCCACTATGCAACGGTGTAGTAAGGCTGCATGCTGGGTGCACTTTGAGGGCTAAACAACACCCACACACTCTGATTTATTTTTCGCTCACCCTTTGCCAGAGCACTATGAGCTGGAAGAGGGCAAAGAGGCGGGCAGGGGAAAAAGTCGCTTCGAGCAGAGACTTGACAGAGCTTTCCATGAAGCTCCGTATTCGGTTTGAAGCTAACTAAATGTCTTCCCAGGACTAGCTTTTGGCGGGATAGTATGCGGGAAGTGCAGAGGGTGTTGCGGCTTCGAGCGTCCGAGAGAAAGCCGAGGGAGCATAAGGTACTGGGAGACAGTGAGCTCAAAAAGACAGACTGACATAGAAAAAGGGTCAGAGCAAACGGGGCGGTCGACTAGGGTGTGAGAAAAAGGGCAAACGTTCGAACCCAAAAGAAAACCGCGCAAGGCTGTCTTTAAGAAGAGCTCCATTGCAATATCTTTAAGGAAGGAGCGACCCCAAAGCGAGTGTTATTAGCTGCCGGTAGAGGAGGGCAGGAAGGGGAGCATCCACGAAGGCCTATCAACTCGGCACAAATGGAGGGGCCTTTATGAGGGGCCGTTAGTCAGGCGGAGAAACACATTTACGCTGCCGCTGCTGTTGCATTTTCAGGGAGAACTTCTGTTCAGGAGGCTTTTGCTGAAGCGCGAGACTTGCGGGGAACCGCAGTGGCTGGTTTCTTAAATCCATAAGGCGCCTCCTGCCTCGAAGGGAGCTCCGCTGTTGCAACCTGTAAAGGCCGGCTGTCGGGGGATTCAAAACTCCTTGCTCCGCATGTGCTGCTGTAGACATGCCAACAACGCCTCTTTTGACTCTGTCGAAGAGCTTCTCCGAGCCACACTGCCTAAGGCCAATCCTGAGGAACCCCTAAAAGCCTCCGCTCTCCCTGTACAGCTTCCGCTGCCTTTATGAAGCTCTAAAAGACGGCCTAGGCGTCCAGGGGAACCGGTAGCCTGCCAAATAATCCTCCTGCGAAGGAAGGAGTTGCTGCGTCTTTGTCTGCAGTGCTAAGTGGGTGCCCGCAGCGCCGCGCGCATGCCCATGCCGAAGGGAAAGAAGGTCTTCGGTGGTTCTTCGGAAGCACCCAAAGAGGTCTCTTGCGGGGCCTTAGGCTGGCTTCCTTCGATATTTTTGACGGGCTTTTCGACCTGTCTTGACATGCACTGAGAGCGATCGCCGGCGAGGGGTTGTTGGGCGTTGGCCTCTGCGCAGCCACACGGCTCACGATGGCTTCTAGCCGCAAGACGGCACCTAAGTTTATAGTAAGCCCCATACAGAGGTCTGAAGCAGCGAGTAATCTGCGCCTTTAACGACCAACGGGGGGAGGGCCCTATCGTTTTCGGGGGTTGCTTGGTGCTGGGATGCACTGCTGAGTGCGGCTCCGAGCTGCCCCCTTCTGGCTTGTCACTGGGGAGTCGCTGGCTCCGAAAGGCGTTGCCAAATGCCATTCTCGCGAGCGGGGAACCAGCAGGCTGCGCAAATGGTCGAGTGCCCTCCTCAGTCACTCGAGAGAGCAGCTGGAGGGTGGCGAGGGCTTGCCTTGAAAAAACCATTGCGTGGAAAGCAAAGAGCCACGAATCATTGTGAACTTTAGAGAAAAGCGCCGCTTGGCGCGAACAAATGAAAGATCCTAAGACAAAGCAAGCGCGGCACGCCGCTCAGGCGATCCCGCAAGTGGTATTAGTAGCATCAAGTCCATAAGACCACACCGCGCCGGCTTGGTCTGTCGTGTTCGTGGTATAGAGGGGCAGCAGCTGGCAGCAGTGCAGATGATGACATGCCGCCCTTTTTGGAGTCATATAGACAGTAATAAATAACGCATTAAGAACAATGTTTGAGCTCTGTAAGCGGGTATGCAGCAGCAAAAATGGGGGGCCTACCTGGCAGCACGTCACGCGCGCTCAGTGGTCGTGAGTCGATTGTGGCTTGCAAAAGGAATTTTAGTGCTTGTTGCGATGCTTCTAGAGTTTCTGCGGTGTCTTTTTGGCTTGCACTACCTCAAAAACATCATTGGGATGCCTCCGGACACTGCTCTACGGCGGATGAGAGTGCCCTTCGAAGGGGTCACTTCGAACACCTCCCCCTCTCCCACGGCTCGTTCATGAGAGACAGTGGCGGCGCCTGAAGACACGAAGACAGCGTAGGATTTAAAATTTAGTGACTTTCCTAGCGTTCAGGTGTAGGTTCTCGGAGGTAGAGGCCCTTGAAGAACATTGGGGGTGTGCGAGTGCCGTGAGCCGTGGCTGTATTCAACCGCGCATTCTCTAGGCATGCTTCCTGGCAGCATGGTATTCGGTGCTGCAAAAAATCGGACATCCAGCATTCTCACCCTCACGGACCGATGCTCAAGAGCGTCGGAAGGCAGTTTAGGCAACCCTCTAGGCGATAAGTGCCAGGCGCAGATAATCGGCCACAGTAGGTAAACGTGAGACAGGCAGGCAGGCAGGTAGACAGACACCAAAAAGCACACTGCTAGATCGAGGAAGCCCGCCACAGACTTCTTTTGCGTAAGACTGTGCATCCCTCAGACGGCGTAGCAGCAGACTTTGTAGCAGGCGCAACGGCGCATCCCCGCAACCGCATTCGAGGCTTTCCCCCTTCTCTTTCCCCTCTTTCCAAGACGGGGGAGGATGCCTGTGTCTTGCACGATTTGAAACAGGAGCTGGAGAGGAACACCTTACCCCCATGTCGGGAGGGGCCCCGCGCTATGGATAGATTAACGCCTCCTCTGGGGAGGGTGGTGGTGAGACGTGTGCGCACACCCACCAACCACGCGGCGCTCAGCAGTTTTACGCTGTCCGCTGTAGGGAGGATTTGATCGACGTCCTCGGAGATGTGCCTCAGTACATAAACAGGGGGCGGTCGGAAGCACAACTGTTTCGAATTTTTCTTTTTCGTGCGAAGCTGACGAGATACCGGCGGCACCGAGGGGGGCAGACCCTCCATCCCTCCTCGAAAGCCTTCCGCGGGCTTGATGGAGGGCACACTGCAGCTAGCCATAGAGCCTCTCCCAGCGCATCACGCGTGAGCCGTGCTGCCTCGTTCAGCGCGCAGGCAGTCGAGTGGCGTAAGTTTACGCATGCACGTCAAAAAAGACGCACAGCCACATGCGATTTGATCTTCCAATTCATGACGCGCAGGCAGCCAAAAAGGAGACCTCTAACACAGTGCGCACCCTGCTTTGCGCTTTCCCCTAGTGTCACTAGGATGGCCTTGGTGTTTGAGACACGGACGGTGAGGGTTCTGCCGATACGGACTTGCTGCTGCCACCACGTTAACAGGGAGGATACGGTTGCTCTCCGCGCTGCTGCCTCTGCTGATGCTACTGCACGAAGCTCGCCTTCGGCTTTGACAGCCTGCCGGTCGAAAGGGGCGGTCCTATAGGCGCCGTGCCTTCGCGCGAAGGACGAACAACTAGCTTGGAGTCCTCCTACTACGCCCTCGACTATCGGCGACGGCATCAGAAGCTACCAGCGAACAGCCGCAAAGCTACCAGCGAACAGCCGCAAAGCTACCAGCGAACAGCCGCAAAGCTACCAGCGAACAGCCGCAAAGCTACCAGCGAACAGCCGCTAGTTTCAGGCAGCCTTCGCGGAGAACTACACATTCTCTGCAGCAGCACACAGCAGCCCGTGCAGCCCCTAACGAACGCGCGGACTTGGGAGAGTGATTCGCGCAGGAGCTCTCTCTACGTGCTTCTGTTTGGGAGATTTTCTTTTTTGCGTGGCGGCAAAAACGCTACAGCCTTTCGCGCAGTTCTGAGCGTACAGCAGTGCCTCTCAAGACGCTGCGACGCACTTAGAGAAGGCCAGTCGCAGGGTTCCTCATCAGGTGCAAGACAGACCCCCCGAGAGCGGTTTTGTGTGGGGCGTCTCCCTGCTGTGTCTGAAAGCCTTCGACTGCTCAATAGCTTTCCGGTTGAGGACGAAGAAGAAGAGCAGCGAGTCATAGCGACCGTCATACTGCCTCCACAAGGCTTCAGTCTCAGACGCGCTGAGAGGAGGCGCCAGAGGCACACGCTGCTGCTTTCGGTGCTCATGGCTAGGGAGGCAAAGGTCTCGTTCCCGATGGCTTGCAGCACTTGCAGCAGCCGACAGCGGGGGCACTGCAGGCTGCGCAGCTCGAGCAGCGTTCCCTTCGTCACGGGCACAACAAGCGACAGGTGACGGCAGCAGCCCCTTCGGCACATACGGAGATGCGCGTGTCGCTCTGATGCGGCAGTCATACTCTCTGAGAAGCAAGTAGACGGCTTCAGCCGAGGAAAGAAACTCGGGAGGCCCCCCCTTGTGACGCCTCCAGAAGGCGCCTCCCTGACCATCCAGCCGAACGCGGGGAAGCTCCTTTAGCGCTGGATGCTTCTGCATTCCTGGAACCTGGTACCAGGTGCAGTCTGCAACAACGACATCTGTGATTTCTTCCCAACGAATGCGTGACGCCGGAGGGGCCCCTTCTTCGGGCAGCAGCAACACGACACCCTTCCTAGAAGCCCAAGGGCTTGGGGGCCCCCCCGAGGGCCCCCCCCATACTCGAGTGCCTTCGGGGAAAAACTGCGGGCAGTCACGCTGGAGAGATCGCGCAGTGCAGCTAGTCGCTGCTGTCTCTACTCTTGTAAGGGGCCCCTCCGCCGCGTTTTTCTTGCTCTTTTTCGATGCGCCTGCTGCCGCCTCTTGCCCCCTCTGCTGCCTCGGCAAAATCTCGCTGAGGAGACTCCCGTGAACCTCGTAGAGCACCGCGTCGTTGGGTGCCAGGAGGCGCAGCGGAATAGCAGAGGACTTTGCCGCTTTTTCTTTGGGATGCCTCACGACATGCAGGCGGAAGGGCAAGGCAACTCGGGGAACGTGGCTTGCTGTTGCTTCTGAAAGAACGAGGCAGCAGCAGCTGCTGCAGTAAAAGGCACGCTGGCGACCACAGCCTCCACAGCAGCGCCTCCTTCCCGCAACTGCTGACTCGCTGCGTCTCCTCGGCGGGGGATCCGAAGAGGGCCCCCCGTTGCACGTAGAAGGCGCTCTCGCCCCTTGGATATCCGGCAGGAGGGGGGTGTAGTCTTCAGCCTCTGCGTTTACGCCTGCGGCAGCGGGGGGGCCCCCGGGGCATCCCCGGGGGCCCCCCCCATCAGAGAACTGCTCCTCTCCATCCTGCAAGACCCTCTCGACGGCAGCCCAGTCGAGGCAGAGGCTTTCAACGTCCACGCGACGACGCACGAGGAATCCCATTCCCCAGGCGCATGCACCTCCTGAACTCTAGCCGTGAAGCCTTCAAGAAGGCGAGGCACACATGCGTGTGCCGCCATAGGGCGCAGTCCTGCACTTCACGCAGCTTAGACGACGCGTTTTGCACACTTTCCGTGATTCGCTGGGAGGGGGCCCTCGGGGGGGCCCCATGGGGCCCCCCCGAGGGCCCCCTCCCAGCATGCAGGGCCGCCTGGAGTGCGCTTGGGGCTTTTAGGCAAACAGTTGGAGCGTATAGGGGAGGCATAACGGACATACTTCCCTCCTAGAATTCTCAATTTGAAGAACTTCTTAGACTGAACGCTACGAAGACACTCCCCCGCACTCCCTCGACTGCCTCGTGCATGCAGGGAAGGCGGCCAGGGAACCCTCTCATACACACGCATAAACACACACACAGAGAAGCAGAGTATTCAGTGAAGGCTGCTGCCTGAGGAGCGCTATCCTGCGCGCTTCCAAGAGGTCTGTCACTGCATTAAGCAAGTCTGGAAGTCGTCGCAAGCAACGAACGATAGGGCGGGAGCTTCGCTCATACCCAAACTCGAGCTCTCTAGATAAAAGAAAGCCGCACTGTTCACCTCCCCGAGCGTCAAAACCATCTAGGGCACCAGCCGTGCGAGGTACTACTGTAGGGAGGCGTGTCAGTGACGTGGCGCTGAGGTATACGGTATGGGAAGCGCTTGCAGCCGTATGTACTTACAGTCGGATTAACGCGATTCTCATGAGGCTTCCAGATCTCAGACTGCACACCCCTTATAGTTAGTCGCGTGCGCAGCCGTTGACACACGCGTGGCGTCAGCTGGCGTCGCTCCCGTAGGCCGCTTGGCATGGAAACATCTAGGTCTTAGAGTTTTGAAAAAATGACGAGCACCGGAGCTCTCGAGGAAGATTTGCGCCATGCAGAAACTTACGAGGATTACCTTGATTCTTTCCTCACGGAGACTGACCGGCTGCACCTTCCTGATGTACGTGGCTGCGTCCAGTGTGGCACAACTGGGGACCCTCACAGAAACACGCCGTATGGCAGCGTGTCTTTTGTAGAGTCTTATCTCTCTCATGTTGCACGCTCTCGCGCCTTTTGAAATACAGAGAAAAGGCGGTTGACAGTCTGAAATGTTGAGGACGATGGATACAGGAGGGATAGGGGGGAAGAGGGCTCAACTGCAGCAAGCACGAGATGGTTTCTAGTTCGCGCTGCAGAGCTTGCGATTTCTGTGCATGTCTCTCTCGGCGCCTCAGGAGAAGCTCGCTCGTCAGCTGGTAGAAATAGGCTGCCTCAAGGGTCAGCACGCGCAACACGTGACTTCCGTGCTGTATTCCCGTGTGTGTATTTGTGTCGTGCAAGATTATACATGCAGGTATTGTGCGCGTGTAAAGTGTACGTATGCACGATGCACGCACCTCCTTCTGAGGGCCGGCGGAGCAGAGCGAAGTCACTGCGGCTCACGCCTCCATGCATGAGCAGTTGCTCTGTTGACAGTTTGTGCGTGCGTGTGGGCCCTCAACCTGAGGAGCCTTTCTGCGTCTCGGTATCTGCGGTCTGGCCTGCATGTTTGTACGTGCTGCCGAGGCTGCAGCCGCCATGAAAGAGCCGCTGCGTTCGCTGGGCTTGCAGGCACTGTTTTGTCTCGGGAGGAGTTCTATTCAAAAGCGGAAGCGTTAGACGAGCAACAGCGCTCGGAAAAGCGGGGGCCTGGCCCTAGGGTTGTTTTGCCAGCCTTTGTTGCATGCCCAGCGACTTCTTCGGTCTTATTGCGGCAGGTGGCAGCGCGAGAAGAACTTATCCGTTGCGGATCTCTCTCTACTATCATCTTCATCAGGCACATGAATGCCAAGGGTCTGGAAATCAGCGCTTACATCGACTTGGCAGACCGATTGAAGGCGCCAGACTTCCCGGATATCCTTGCTGGAAAAAAGAAGTAAGTGTCTGTCTCTCTCATTTTCTATGTGACACTCCATCAATGTCCTCTGTAGGGAAACACTTAGAGCCACACACTTATTCAAACTAATTCCAAAATTCTCGAGTGCTTCTCAAAGAATTCCCTTCTTCTCCTGCTGGAGCCTCGCAAAGTCATGAATATCAGGAGCGAGGGCCAGCCACGGTGCGTGTAGCTGCATCCTCTAGGTACCCCAAGTATACACAACTACTAGTCGCGCATAGCATCTAGCGCACATGCATGCAGACGCCATTATTGCGTCTTGGTGAATCGAGCTAGGTAGCAGGACTCTCGCGGTACATATATATAAGGAGGACAAGCTGATTGATTGAAAGGCTCCTAACTCGTAGTTAAATAGAAGTAGTGCAGTTGAGAGTACTCAAGTGTAGCTGAGTCGGTATACCCGAAGAGTAAACGCAGTCGTCGTATCTGTCTGCACTGTGCAGTTGCACACGTGCAATGACACCCTCATAACTTTCAGAAGCACATAATTCGATGCTAAACACGCTTCCGCAACCGGATACACCAATATTCCTAAAGAAATATTCGTGCACACCCAACTCTGCATCTCTCCAGACTGTATGCAGCAATCCATGCAACTGGATGTCTTCAGAGAGCCGTCTGTCTGCCTTTACGACTGGCTGTATGCGTTGCTGTGAGGCAGCTGTGTGTGTCAAGCACGTGGGCTAATGTATGTATGCATTGCATGTATGCATTGTATGTATGCAGACATTGTGTATATGTACGTATGCATAGTATGGATTTATGCATGCATTGGATGTGTGTGTGTTTAGGCATTGTATATATGCATGTACGCATTGCATCCATGCTTGCATTTCAACGGTCGTGCAGAGTTTTGTGGTGTACGGCGAAGCATTGTATTTCCTTTCGAATTTTGGGTTGCCCCCCACAAGGCTGTGCGCTGCGCTTCCTGTGCGCTGCGCTTCTTCCGAGCATAAAACGTCATCAGCAGATCCGAAGAAGGCCGTCCGTAGTCGCATTCTGCTTGCTATTTGTGAGCCTCTGTTTGCGTAGACTGTTGCCAAGGGCCAGCGATTTGTCGTACTACAACTGGGCAACCAAGGTCCTACTCTCTAGAGACAGTGCAGACTTTCTTGTCGTTGCTGGGGAGGGTTCTGGAATGCTCTTCCGGCACAGAAGAGACAGGAAGCTCATCAATCCGAACCCTGGGGGCCCCCCAGGAGACAACACGAAGCGCACTGAAGTAGAAACGGAAGAACTGCTGCATCTCGTCTTTTACGATCACACCTGCAGGAAGAAGTCATAAACCCCAACACCCGTATCTACCCGTTCCCGACAAGCATGCAGCTCAGACACGCCGTGTGTCACGGAGGGCTTCCGCTTCGTTTCCACGCTCCGCAGCAGTCCTCCAGAACTGAAGACTCATTCTTTCCAGGAAACGCACGTTGCAGGAGGCTCCTGGCATCCTGCCAGCAGGAGCTTGAAGGGCGAGGCAGCAAGACAGCTGTGCCCTGCAGATCGTCGAAGAGACTCGTCTGGTGGTGCTCCTGTGAGCACCACTGTCGGGCAGGAGAGGCTTAGGATGTCGCCGAAGGAGCAGCATCTCGGCGCTAAAGCGAAGGACGAACCCAGTCGTTTTTCCTTCCCCTTCTCAGCTGCGATGACACGGGGGGTGGGGGGCCTCTCGGCCCACTGCTGCGGATGGCACTGACTGCACTACCTGAAAATTGCTCCTGCGCCGCATCTGTTCTCGCCTGCCTCTTAAAGCGCTTTGTGCACATGGACGCTCCCGCAGCGGGAGGCCGCCGTAGCGTCAGCCTTTGTGGCGAAGCGAGAGATAAATTCTCCTCCACAGAACACGCAATGCGTAGGCGCATGCATGCCTGCGTACTGACGGCGCGGTGCAGTCCTATGTGTTGATGCCCGCAGTATTTTGGTGCGACACACTCTCCTGCAAAATACAAGTAGCGATAGGCAGCGTGCACGTACGCAGAAGGTCGCGCACGTGTTGGGCCGCCTCGCTATAATTATCAGATGCGCAGGAGCCGAAAAGGAGTTCCCAGCATCCCCCTAGAAGGGAGCTCCACAGACTCCTTGTCGTCAACAGATGTGCGCAGGCGGCACTTCGACCTTGATACGCCTATCTATGCACCAAAAGTGCATGCACTGGCCTTGCATACGCTGACGAACGCCGAACAGAGGGCTCGACACGGCACGCTAGGAGGCGCAGTGCTGGGATCTCGTTCACCAGCCAGCTCTTAAGGCCTTTTCGCGTGTGTGCCGTAGTAGGCGTGAGACAGCAGGGGTTATCGCCCCCGGTACCTACTCTAGTGATTTACTCCTTCTGCTAAATAGGGAACTTTCAGTGCGTGTAACCTCGTGCATGCACCGCCTTTTCTACGAAGGAGGCCTGCCTGCCCCTATGCGGCTAAAAGGCCACCCTGCATGCAGGGGCAAGCACACCAGGGATCTCTGCTCTGGCCGTTACGCCACCCACACACGCAACCACTGCTGAAGGCAGTTCCCAGAAGTAAAGACTAGAGGATTTCAGAAACGCCTCTTGGCGCTCCTTCTTTTACTGTATGCCCTTAAGGCCTCCAAAAAGCCCTCCAAAACTCCTCACGGAGGAAGCCTACTCCGAAAGCACTCAGGCAAAAAACTCGTCTATCGTTCGTGCACTGCTGCGTCTGCTGTCCTCTTGCAGCTTCCTGTGCAGCGGCTGCGGCTTAGAATGAGGATGCAGCTCCTGCTGCCGCTGCGAGTACTTCCAGAAATCCTCAGCATCACCGCCTCCCCACAAAGAAGACAGGTCGCTGCGTCGCTCGTGGCTATGCTGCTTTCTCAATAGAGCCTGCTGCTGCGGCGGTTGGTGTTGCAGCTCTTGGTGCCGCTGCTGCGGCTGCTCTTGTTGCTGCTGCTGCGGCTGCTCTTGTTGCTGCTGCTGCGGCTGCTCTTGCTGCTGCTGCTGCGGCTGCTCTTGCTGCACTGCGATCTGCTGCTGCGCTTGATCAGGCATCACGGGAGGAAAATTAGGACCAAAAGACGATCTTAGGGGGCTTGCTGAAAAGACGCTTTGCGCGGGAGCTCTTCGTTCCCACACAAATGACTGCTGCAGCAGTTCATGCTGCTGCTGCTGCTGCTGCTTTTGTTGTGCAGCCAAGGGTGGTGAAAGCATTTCTTTGCTTGCTACATCCTGCAGTGCCTCAACAGTTTCAGCTGCTGTAGAAACTTGATTCTGCCGCAGCGGTGCAAACACCCCCGAAGTCGGTGTGGGGTCGTGCAGCTGCTCTTGCTCTACTACTACCTGCTGCTGCTGCTGCTGCTGCTGCAGACTCGGCGGCTGCTGCTGACTTTGTTCCTGTTTTTTGTGTAAAACAAGGCTGCCTGACGGCTCCCCGCCAGACACAGAAACGGACTGAGATGAATATGGCACTGCCTCCCAAAGCTGCTGCTGCTGCTGCTGCTGCTGTTGCTGTGGCGGCAAAGGTGCTTGCTGCTGCTGCTGCTGTTGCTGTGGAGGCAACGGTGCTTGCAGCAGCGGATGATGAGTTCCCCAGAAGCGAGCGACAGGCGTTTGAGCGCTTCTGGGAATGGATTCAACGCTGCAGTCATCAAACACGCACAGCATGTAGAGCAGCTCGATGCAACAATAACAACAATAACAACAATAATAAGAACAATAACAATAATAACAACAATAAAAACAACAATAAAAACAACAATAACAACAATAATAACAACAACAATAACAACAATGATAATAACAATAATAACAATAATAACAACAATAACAACAATAATAACAATAACAACAATAATAACAACAATAACAACAATAATAACAACAATAATAACAACAATAACAACAATAATAACAATAACAACAACTAAAGGAGGCGAACAGGCAACACCAGCAGAGAGACAGCAGCTCACAGGACGCTACTGCCACGGCTACATGCTGGTACACTGCACTTTTTGCGCTACCAAGGAGGCACAAGATGAGCAAGAAGACGGAAAAAGCACTTGTTTCGAAAGGCCATTGAAGCGGCCAGAGGAAAAGCGCTACCCACCGGTGCAGCAGGAAAATCGGCAGCAGCAGCAGAAGAGTAGGGTGAGCCAGAGCAACGCCTACCTGAGCTGGGAAGGAGTTGCTGGAGTTGTAGGCTGCGTGGCTGCAAGTAAAGTAGGAACTGCTGCGAAACGTGAGGAGAGGGCAGAAAAACTGCTGCGATTCAGCTGCCTGGTATCGTGTTGCTGCTGCCTAGCTGCTGCTTCTGCTGCAGTCGCTCGCGTGTATATATCCTGCATGCGCTGCACTGCATTCAACATGGAAGACATGCAACTGCTGCTGCTGCTGCTGACAACACTGCTGCGCCTTGATCGAGCGCGTGTGCTGCATGCAACGCTGCTGCACGGGCTTCCCGGCTGCAGCAGCGGCTGGGGAAAGCGGGGATGCCGCTGCTGCTCTTGCTGCTGCTCTTGCTGCTGCTGCTGCTCTTGCTGCTGCATGTCTTCTATCAAGCTGCTCATGTCATCGAACGCCTTTTGACCTGCTGCTGCGGCAGCCGCCGTTGCTGCGGCTGTTGCATCCGCTGCACTTGCTGAGCTGTCAAGACACTGCAGGGCTGCATCGTGCTGCTGTCGAATGCGTGCTAGCTCTTGTTGCAGCTTTCGAAGCGATGCTGCAAGGTTGCTGCTGCTGAGGGAAGTCGTAGCAGCAGCAGCAACCTTGCGGCATCGGTCCTGCTCTTCTTCTAGCTGCTGTCTTTGTTTTTCTAGCTGCTGCTTCTGCTCCTCTAGCTGCTGCTTCTGCTCCTCTAGCTGCTGCTTCTGCTCCTCTAGCTGCTGTCGCTGCTTCTCTTGCTGCTGTCGCTGCTCCTCTAGCTGCTGTCGCTGCTTCTCTAGCTGCTGTCGCTGCTCCTCTAGCTGCTGCTCTTGCGTCTCGAGCTGTCGACACCGCGCGTCCACTTGTCGTTGCTGCTCGAATAGCTGCTGTCTCAGCTCCTGCAGTTGCTGCTGCTGCTCCTGCTGCAGCTGCGAAGCCTCCCCCTCCGGCAGGCGTGACCTCTGCTGCTGCTGTTGCTGCCGCTGCGGCTGCAGCTGCTGTCTGAGCGCTGCATTCTCGAGACGCAAAGTCTCGATTTCCTTTCGGAGCCGGATCTCCTGACCATGAAGCTGTTGTTGCAAAGCGGCAACAGCCCGATGCTCCTCCGCCTGGTGGCTGGGGAGACGGGGGAGAGCGCCTCCGCCACGCTGCATCTGCTGCGTCTGCGTTTGCGTCTGCTGCTGCTTCTCGTCATCAGCTGTCGCCGAAGGCAGGCGCATGTTCTGCAGCAGCACGCGGGCAGCTTCTGCAGCTTCCAGCCACGCAGTTGCCGGCCCAGCTCCTGAGTGAGAGGCAGGCAGCTTACCCCCCCGAAAAGGCAGCTGCTGAGCCTGCAAAGGGGGCTGAGGAGGCTGCGGCGGCTGCACAAGAGAAGGAGGCTGCTCCTCCTGCAGTCTATCCGCAAAGCTGCTCGCTGCTGACTCCCGTCGGGAAACTTTCACGGCAGCCTCATCCCTCAAGGCACCCCCTCCACGCGACGACCGAAGCCTCCCTGACGCCTCCTCTGCATGCTGCATGTGCATCTGCGTGTGCTGCACTTGCTGCTGCATGTGCATCTGCGTGTGCTGCACTTGCTGCTGCATGTGCATCTGCGTGTGCTGCACTTGCTGCACCTGCTCGTGAGGCAGCCGGTGGTGGTCAAACACGCTTCCCAAGGGCAGAGGCGGCACGGGAGAAGCCTTAGCAGATGCGACTACAGTCGTAGGCAGCGCAGCTGGAGGCTGTACACCACTTGCATCTCCAAGAGAGCCTCCAGAAGGCGTTCTCGAGCCGAGAGGCGTCCACGCAGCCGCAGACTGCGACGGCGGGGCCTCCGGGGGCCCCCGCTGCATGAAGGGCTGACCCTGGGGGCCCCCCGGGGGGCCCCCCGGGGGGGGCCCCCGCGGCGGTGTAGGGCCCCCAGGGGGGGGCCCCTGGAGGGGTCTCCCCTCGGGGCCCTGAGCAGAGGAGGCGCCTCGGAAGTGGCGCTGCGCTGGGGTGGCGGTGATCATCTCGGGGGGGCCCCTAAGGGGCGCACGGGCGGGAAGATGCACACGAACGACAGAGGGGCCCCCCGTATTCTGGCGTTCGCTGCGTTTCTGGAGGCTTCCTCCCTCTGAGCTACTGAAGAAGACTGCGAGCGATCGCAAGACGCTCGACCAGCGGGGGGAGAGGAGCTTGGGGGAGGGGGGAGGGGAGAAGAGAAGGAGGAGGCAGAAGTTCAGGGAAGAGGGGCCCCCCGCGGGCAGGACGGCTTCTCTCGGGTGTCGTGGTGCTGCTGCCGAGGTTGCTGTTGCTGCTGCGGCTGCTGCGCTCGGTCGCCAGGCTCTCGCAGAAGCAGGAGCGAAGCGTTGGAGGGCAAGACAACTGCGATAAAACAAAAAGCCACACCGGGCTTGCCTTTGCGAAAAACACAACGCAGAGAGGGCCTGGTAGCACCAGCGCCAAACAACGACGGCAAACCGAAACGGCTCGCGTGAGAAGTCAGGCAGCCACAAAGGGAAGAAATAATCACAAGAAACAGGAAACGACCCCCGAAATAGAAACAGCAGACGGGTAGCCGCAATAATGATAACAGCGGCAGCCGCCGTACCAGCGCGTTCGGTTCGTCAGCGGCGTGTGCTGCTGCTGCCGTTGCTGCTGCACTGCTGCTTGTGCAAGGGTTGCTGCTGCGCTGCTGCTGCTACTCTGGCTGCCGCCTCGCCAGAAACTGCGACTTGAAACCTCGAGAAATGTTTAGACAGCCGAGGGGATCAAGGTTGAGGCACGTTTGCACACTGGCGTTCCTAGTACAGCCGCTGCCCTAGCACGGCTGCTGGCATCGCCATTGTACAGCCCTCCTCAACGGCGGCAGAACAATGAGGCAGTAGCAGCAGGAATAGCAGCAACATGGTTTTTAGCCTCTTTGATTGTGTGTCTCGAAATTCTAACCATTGTTCATAGTGGTGACGGCGACACCGGGGGGCGGGGTGGGGGGGTGGGGGGAAGAGCTGTGCAGCTGTTAAAACTCATGTTTGCCTAAGAATACCAGATTTCCGGCTCAAGTGGAATTCGCGATTTCGTATCTCCAATTCTGTATCTTAGGACACGCTTATGACGCTGCGCTAGGTTCAGGGCGAATACTTGGCTTCCACGACTTGCCTGCGATCATAAAATGCAGCCAAGGACCACTCCAATGTGCGTGATCACACATGGATTCAGTATTGAAGAGTACACCTGCGTGACGCTTGGTAAGGATCCCGACAGAGGTGATCTTTGAAGTCCATCATTAGTTCTGAATTCGGCTCACGCACGGGCTCGACACGTCTGCAACTTCCCTTCAGAACAGCGTTAGTATCTTCAGTACACTTCATCATACGATCTTCACAAGTTGAGACACCCTATCCTAGAATTACACTACAGCAATAGATACAAAGATTATTCGCGTTTCGAAAGTCTTGTACTAAGCACCCTGACAAGACCCTCCCATGGACTTGTTGTACATGGACGTGCTTGCAGACCAGATCTCACGTAGGACTCTAATAAAACGTAAACGCGTTAAACTGGCATAATGGCATGTAAAATTTATGGAGCGAACGCACTTCCATATATTATATTATTGATTTGTTAAAGCAGTAGTCATGGCAGCCCCTACAGTTTTCCACCTGCTCTTGTGGCAAGTCTGAAACACTACACCACCCCGGAGCAGGCTCGCTTTCGGCTCCCCTCTTCTTGTAGCTGCAAAAAGAGGTCTCGCGAAGTTTCCCCTAAGGCATTTCTGCCCTTTCTGCCCCCGCCAACACACTGCAGAGGCACATTCCTGCAACGCGAATGCAAAAGCGATCGCCATACGCGCGCAGATTCAGGCAGGAGCGACAGCCCCAAATCCTGCACAGAACGTGAATGGCTTTTGCAATGCGAATCTGCACGCGAAGGCTTCACAGAAGCATCCTTCTTTCAAATGCGTTCGAAAGGATTAGACAGCCCTGATTCGTGGCTGAACAAGGCCTTGAGACCAACTCAGCGGCTGGGAGCTTACACGGCGGCGTCTGAGGAGAGAAGCATGGTAGAAAGAACACCTTTTGACAGGCGAGTGGAGGGGGCAGGAGGGGTGACAGGCTGTTGCGGTGGGGTCTGTAGCCGCCGTCTCTGCTGCCAACACGGCGAAAATGGAGGCATGAAACGGTGGGGGAGCTGCCCGTTCGCCGATGCAGACACGCCTGGCTAGCGAACAAACAGATGCGCATGCAAGCAAGTAAAGTTCAGTTTGTCGTAGGAGAGGCACGTACAGAGATGGCGCTTTCAACACGTAGGTGTCTCTCAGGGATCTCGATTAAGAAAGCCGTCCCTTATTCTTTCGCTTAGCTTATCCGTTGGGGTCCTGAGCGACGGCTAGCTGCGGATTCCGACGGCTTCTCGGCTACTTGTAGCACCCACACGGCTAGCCGCTCCGTACCTCAGTCACTGTCTTAGCTGGACCTACAGCTCAAAGGTTGCCTAGCCCTGTGTCTGCAATGGGGAGCATGCACTCCCCTCTTGATAGAGGCCCTCCTTTGACACCCAGTGTTGCACTGGACAAAGCATTGCTCTGGCACTTCCTACCAGGTCTTTGACAGTTGAAAAATGAGTGTAAAGAATCACCGACTCGACCTGGCTGTCCGCACATCGTATGTGTCAGGAAGCGCGTAGCTTCAAAACATCAGGAACCACTGGTGCATGGCTGCGCGCTGTAGGTTGCTATGTGCCACTGGCTGTTGGTTGCTCGAAGTGCTAAAGAGAGTTCGGCATCAAGGCGCATGCTCCCTGGCTCTGTGTTCCTCTCTCCTCATGCAGCTACCGTGTAGTCCGAGTGTAGACACAGCGAGGTGGGAGCTTGATCGGAGGGGCGCTTAATGACTTTCTCTGAAGGCTTCCAGTGGTTCTGAGGCTAATTACGTATCCCTTTACAGAGATCTCATGCGAAGGGCTGCTGCGCGTTACGAGAGGCGAGGCTCCCACTGGCACTCTAGGCTCTGCTTTCCTAAATGTGTCTCTGCTCTGCAATGCCACATTCTCTCCAACCTAGTCCGTCGGCCAGTACCCCCTCACAGCTTTATGGAAACTGCAGCCAAGAACCCCCTCCCCCCTTCTTGCGCCTCCCCCGCACTATGCTGTGCCCACCAGTTTTCTGCTACCTTCACCTGGCCCTACTGCCGGTGAGAAGCCTACAAGTTTATCGGCATCTCTGGGGGCTTTCTGTCTGCCCTACTCGGTATAGCCAGACAGCGCGCCTTGTCAGACAGCTAGCCGCTTGGCGAACCGGCTGGAGCGCAGTCAGACAGGTCCGTGGCATTCGTTTTCCCTTCAAGAAGCGTCGCCTCGGCAAGGAAAGCTTCTCTAGGTAAAGCGCTCGAAGCCTCGCTGTTGCTGCCCCTCTCCCTCAAGTCCACCGCTACACTTGGGACCCTCAGCAACAACTCGAGCACCCCTGGCTTACTCACCTGCGGCTCCCGCTGCGAGGTTACTCCTTCTTCACTTTCTTCTTCTTCCGCCTCTTCTCTCGCCGCAACTCCCCAGACCCCTCAGCCCGCCCCTGACCCTCTAAGATCTGCAAAAAGACGCCACGCAAGCCACCCCACCCCCCGAGCAAGTCGCTAGGCATGCAGGCAACGCGCAGAGGCTCCCCTTCCCCCCATGTGCATGCATGCGACACAGAAATACACCTGCGACGACAAGGCTGTGCCATCTGGCATCCACAACAACCGCGACACCAACGTCCACACGCTAACACGCCTCCGCTCACTTCGGCAGCGTCAATAGCCCTCCCCAAGAGATCCGCCATCTTCTGTGAGAGAGCGCCAGTCTGTATTTGCCGCTGAACATGGCGAAGCGTTCGCAGCTCGTCCACGATCGCCTCTACACGCTGCTGAATCTTGAGCCACTGGGCTTCTCTAGAGCTCCCCGTGAGGCCTCCCTGCTGGCTGTCTGCTGCCGCTGGGATCGAGGCACCAGCGGCAGCTGCCATCGACACGAGGTGCTTTCTAAGTGTGCCTTCTACATCCAGCCCAAGCTGCGCAAGTTCCTTTCGGATCGAACTTCCAAGCAGGCTAGCCAAAGCGAGCTGGCAGGGGGGATGCTGCAGGGGGAGGTTGGGAGAGGCACACATCAGCAGGCAAGAAGCCTCTGCGTCCTCTTGCAGCAATACCAACTGCTGGAGAACTGCCAGATGCTGTGTCTCTGCAGCATCGAGAGGATCTCCCACGTCTGCCGACCCCGTCTTGCTACCAGTAGTCATACGAGTCTCCAGATTGTTGCCGTCGCTGGCATGCTGTGCCTCAGAGCCGCTCAGGCCCGCCGTCTGATGCTGTTGTTGAGGCTGTTGTTGTTGCTGTTGCTGTTGATGTTGCTGTTGTTGTGCGAGAGCTCTTGTCACATCCTGCTTGTACTTAGCCTCGGCTGCGTTTACAAGGAGCTCGATGAGTTCGTTGATTGGCTCGCGTGTGTGCAGCGTAAGCAACTGAAAACGGAGTCCAGCGCATACGGGCAGCTCCAATTCAACGACGCCGGCTAAGTCAAGATCTTCGATGTCGCCCAAAAGCTCCTGCAGCAAGCAGCCAACAAAAACAGCACATGCATCGCCGTCATCAGCACGGAACGCTGTGCACAGCAGAGGGGTGTATGTCTCTCGGCGCCTGTGTTTTGCATGGCCGTGTGTGTGGTTGGATCTACATGTGTATGGCATGTATGTTTACATATACGTGTACATACATACATACACATACACATATATAAATATACATACATGTATACATGTTCCTATATACACATACATATATGCACATACATACATATATATATACGTATACGTGTTCCTGTATATGCATATATATATATATATACATACATACATGTTCCTATATATACATACATATATGCACATACACATGTACATGTTCCTATGTACACATACATATATACATATATATACACATACGTACACATAAGCACGTTCCTATATATGCATACACATATGTATATCATGTATATATATATGTATACAAATATGCGTATATATATATATGTATAAGGGGGTAGTAAATAAGCGCATCAAGTGCGCGTAGAGGGAATGGCGGAGCGGGCTGGCATGTAGAGCTCTATTTAGAAGAAATGCAGCCAGCAAGACGCGGAGGCTAAGAAAAGGCGAAGGATGAGCAGACGGACGCCGAGGGTGTAATGCCGTGCAATATCCACGGCTTTCAGAGCGAGGAGAAGGCAGGAGAAGAGAGCCAAGCGGAGGTCGACGGCTAAAGCGGACTGGGAGAGAAAGAAGCGGTGGAAGAAAAGACACGCTGTTTCCAGAGCGAAAGCCTTAAGGCCCTTCCGCCTGAAGATGAACAAAAGCTGCAAGGCGAAGTAGCGCTGCAGGAGCAGGAGATCCTCTGCTGTGGGAGCGTCTGCCGTTGCTGCAGCGTCCACTGCTGCCAAGCGTTCCAGTGCCTGCGCATGAACCTCTTTGCGTTTCTGCTGCAGCTCTTCTGCCGTAAAGAGCCATTCTCTGTGGTGGGAGCTGATGAAAGGCCAGCAGGCTGGCGACGATCGGGGGGTGCCGTGCGCTGCTGCGAGGGCACTTCGAGACCCCTCCTCCTCCCCAGACGCCTTCGAGGGAGTACTTTCTTGTGTTTCTGCAGGAGTCTGTTGCTTCGGGAAGCCTTCTTTGGAGGAGACTGTCGCTGAAGAAGGAGGCGCCACTGCTACGGCAGAGGCCTCCATGGCGCTGGGCACTCGAGCGGCGAAGGCGAAGCACTTCCTCCCCTTCTCTGCCTTCAGATCCCCTTCCCCTCTCGCGCGAAAGAAAGCCTTCTAAAGCGCGTGAAAAGGCGCTCGACTGGCTCGCTTTCTGCTCTTCCCCAGGCGAGGAAGAAGAAGCAGCACACGGGAGGAGCCGGCAGTCGCCCCTTCTTCGAGCTCCATGCGCAGGCAGACGCAGCACACAGGCCTCCAGGAGGACGCGGAGGAAGGCAAAAAGTCGAAGGAACCGCGCGGGAAAGCTAAAAAATGCAAAAAATACGCCGAAGGTCGCTGGGCGCTACAGTGGCTGCTGTTGTCGAGGGGCCAAACATCGGCGCCGCGCACCTCCTGATGGCAGAATGTTCGACGCAAACGTCTATTAGGCAATCATCAAAACAAAAACACTCTTCGGAAGGAAAGCACGCATGCAGCAGAGCGCACGTCGTGCCTGTCCAATGCCTCACCTCCGTGCAGTGTTACCACCAGAGCAACCTGGAGGGCCCCTCCCCCCCATCCCCATCCCTCCTTCCGCCACTGCCACTGGCTCGAGGAGGTAGCAGAAATGCACAGCACTGAACGAAAGTCTATAGCGCATGTGCAGTCTGCAGGAAGGGCCAGCCAAGAAATGTGTTGGCTGCCTCTCTGCATTCGAAGGGAAGGCACATTCGGTGGCTTTTAGGCTCTGCTCCCATAGCCTCGCCCTCCCCCCCTTCCCCCCCGACCTTTCGCGCCTTGCCTTCATTGGCAGCGTGGATGCTATACTCAGTTCAGGAGGCCTCCCTTAGTCTACACGGCCTCAGTAGGGAGTGTAGCGGGCTAGGCAGGCAAGCAGGCTACACACACTCGCGCACTTCCCGCTGCGCCCGTTGTCTTTGAGAAAGAACGGCAGCTTAGGGATGCCGTCCGTACACCCTGCTCATTGCAGAGTGGCTGTAGCCCGATACATGCAGACGCACTGTTGGGTACACATGCGTCAATGCGGCTGCCCACGAGTCGCTGTGAATGCTCGCTGCGCTTTGAGGGCTTTGCCACGCGCAGCTTGTCTGTCTCTGACCCCCTGCTGGATCATAGGGGATGAGCGTAGCGGGAGAAGGGCTACTCTTGAAAACACTAAAATGATTTTCTGTGTTATGCTCGCTTCGAGTCTGGAGTCAAGCGCTTCCCTGTAGACACCTTGGGTGGGGTGGAATGCTTCGCGGAAACACTTAAGCAGCTCTGAAGCTACTGAAGAACCTTTCGAAAAAATCGCGTGCCCCTCCAAAAACCTCGGACCGCCTCCCCTTCCCTCATTACCCTGCGGAGACGCCTGCATGCTGGGGCGAGGGAGGAGTAGCGAGAGCTAGCTTCGGGGGGAGCCAGAGGTACAAGCACTTTGAGCAGTCACAGCTAGCTGCACACATACCATCTACAGCGCACAGGCACGCGGTCATCGATTGTTTACCATTGCATTAACTCAGTTCTACAGCCCATGGTTCATTAGAAGAGCCACACCAAGGAGCCGACTATCAGCGCCTTCTTAGTTATTTCGAAGCAGTGAAGCTTCGCTGAAATTCTATCGGCAGTACGGTGCAGGCAAGCTTTGCAGTCCAGCTGGATGCAGGCGCTGCACGACGGTCGCTCAAGCCACCTATCTCTGTCACCCCTCCCCCAGCAGCAGCCCGCTTGCAGCGAAGCAAGGCAAGTCAACCTGCGTGCCCTGCACGAGTCGAACAAGTTCGCGGCTGTTGGGAAAAGTATCTGGTACGATCGGCATGCAGAGGAGGCTCCGCTGTCTGGATGAGGAAGGCTCCCTTCTGCTCTACTAGCTACTCTTCTTACGAGAGGGACTGGTCCCCTCTGGGAGGCGGCAGGGCGCAGGGATTGATCCTTGCGCCCTCCCCCCTCCCCCCACAGAGGCCTTTTCTAGAGGAACAAAAGAATACTCAAATGTGTTCGAGAGGCTTTGCCGCTAACGTTACACTGGCATCGCTCGCAGTGGCCTATCTATGCTTGCGCATTCTTCTGCTGCCGCGTTTTTTTCCGCAGCAGGACCTCCTCCCGCCGGGAGTTTCGTCAGGCGTGGCATTTTAGACTTGCGGAAGCTCGCGTGGGCTACGCATTCGGCGCGCACCGCATTTGAACGCATGCCAAAAGAGAACGGCCGCGCTAGACTGAAGAATGGTGACGGCAGGCAGCACTCGAGATGAAGATGATGGCAGCAGAAAGGGCAGCAACGCCAACAGCCGCCAATAAGGCCCCATGTATCTCTTCCATTAAAGAGGGTTGTGAGGCTTCTGGCGTTTCCAGCTGCAGGGCTCTTAGGTAGGCACCATCGTTAGAACGGCTGGCTGGTCAGCGGCACACCACACAGCCAGCAGCAAAACGCAACACACGCCCTGCAGAGATGCGAAGAAGGCTGCCGAGTCTGTGCGGTCTGTTTTGCAGGTGCTGCTCTGGCGCCGCTTACCGATGGAGAGTATATGACCTGGGTGCCATAAAAATCGCTCCGCGTTGCAGATGTCTTGGAGAGCCTCCTTCCGCAGGCTACCGTCCCACCTGATACTCCAAGGAAGCGCAATGCATGCACTCTAGTGTACAAGCCACGAGGTGGGGAAGGGCCTGCAGGGCTTGCGTTGGTATGGCTGCATCTGCACGAGTTGCAACTGGCGCTCAGCGGCGCTACGAAGCTCGAAGGCACCAGTCAAGCGAGTAGATATCCATACACACACACGCACACCCCCGCATGCGGGGCCTCTAGGGTGGTGGAAAATGACAAAGCGAGGCTGCATAAACAGCTAGCTTGCTGGCTAGTGGCTAGCCATGGACGCCTTACGAAGACGCGACGCACTGGCAGACACGAGCAGACCCTAACAAGGAGGCAGCGCGCGCACGCATGCACGACACGCCTCCGCAAACTGTCAAGAAGCTCCTTACCCGGTCCACCATAGGGATTCTCCAAAGAAGCTATCGAACCATTGCTTCAGACACAACCGTATGCTATCAGATCCCTGAGTATCACACACCGCAGGCAGCTCCGAGCCGTCCTCCATTTGCCGTCTCCTGCTGTAGCAGCACAGGAAGCAGCGGCTGCAGCAGTGGCTGCCTCGCGTAGTGCGTTGCTGCCTGGTGCTTCGTATTCGACATACGGGCGCAAGGTGTGCACAGTCGCTCCCCCCTTCAGCCGCAATTTGCTGCTGTGCTGCCGCCTCAACAATTTCCTGCGGAGAGACAAACAACTGAAGGCAGGGGTCGCTCTGACTGCAGCAACCCCACAATAAGGCGCGCCTCAAAGGGGTGGCAGCGGCGTGATTGTCTCTGAGGAGCAGGAGCTGAGCATACTCGGCAAAAGCAGATGCGACTCGCCTGGTGAAGGGCGCGGAGATCCCGTGGAGATGGGCTGGAAGCGTTGTAGAAACGGCATCTTCGCCAGATGCCGCCAATGTCGGTGTATTCAGAAAAGAGCAGGCGGCAGTGTTGAGGGGCTGCATACAAACTCGCATGCGTGGGGAGGCGTCAAGAAGGGCGGCGTAAGGCTCCGCGGCAAGAAGCGAAAGGCGAGTAAAAAAGCAAAGAAGTCGGGGAGAGAGAGCGAAGGAGAGAGAGAAAGACGGAGACAGAGAGGGAGAGACAGAGAGAGAGAGAGAGAGAGAGAGAGAGAGAGAGAGAGAGAGAGAGAGAGAGACAGACAGACAGACAGACAGACAGACAGACAGACAGACAGACAGACAGACAGACAGACAGACAGACAGACAGACAGACAGACAGACAGACAGACAGACAGACAGACA